GGGGGTGCGGCGGATGCTGTGCACCGGGGCCCCGCGATTGAGGGGGCCCTAACATTGTCAAGAATGCACAAGAAAACTCGACAATATTCCTATCGTTGTCAGTATGACGAAAAGTACATTTTATCGTAAACATTATTATTGTAATCTCTGAATTTCGACAATCTTCAAACTAATTCTCGGTGATGCGAATGTTCAGTTTTTGTTATTTCATTCGGGAAACTCCCGAGGATCCCCACCTAAATTCGACTTTGAAAAAAAATCTCAATACCATATAGCCCGCGTTAAGAAATGAAAATAATACTGTGGCCGTCGGCCATATAAGTTTATATGTATATTTTCATCTAGTCGTAGTTTTAAGTAAATACGACTCTGTTCTAATGTATCATATAAACAGAACTGTGCATCATTTAGCACATAGATCACAAGAACAAATTATTTCTGCGTTAGGAGATGAAGTCTTTAACAAAATTAAAGACGATATAAAAGCAGCCACATACTATAGTATCCAAATGGATTGTACTCCTGATATTTCCCATAAGGAACAAACTTCAATTATTATTAGGTATGTAAATTTTGAAGAGAAAAGATTAATTATAAATGAGTCATTTATAAAGTTTATTGAAGCAACTGATGTGACTGCAGAAGGACTAGCAAAAACTCTATTGAAAACATTAAGTGAGCTTGATTTAGATATTATGAATTGTAGAGGGCAGGGATACGACAACGGTAGCAACATGAAAGGGAAATATAAAGGTGTACTGTACAATCTAGAATAATTGCTCTAAACCCTCACGCAATATATGTGCCTTGCCTATCACACTCTTTTAATTTATTAATTTGTGATGCTGCTTCCAGCAGTATATATTGTAAAAATTTTTTTGGGATATTGCAACGTTTATATTGCTTATTTTCTGCATCTACAAAGAGATGGGAAATTCTACTTCTCGATCTTCTTATAACATTTAGCCCGATAAACAATCTCAACTCCCGATCTTTAGTTTTTTCCACTCCCAAATATCGAAAAATGATTTCATGGGATTGTTGCATAACATAATTCCTAATGTTTGTTTAACTATTAATTCCGGACATTCCTGCCGGGAGTTGCGGTAACGTTTGATCAACGATCCTTGACTCTATAAGCTTTGTTGCATCTTTCGGATTTCTAGTAGACNACGGCAATGCCTGGTCATTATCGGTGATCGAAAATGTATCTTACCAAAGGCGACATTACAGACTAAAGAATTTTTTTTTAAGGTTTGGGCCGGAATTTCAGCGAAGGGAGCAACGAAATCCATTTTTGTGGAACCTGGAGTAAAAGTATCATCAAAATACTA